TTAAAATGTCACATAATTTAAAAATTAGAATATTAATTTTTTCAAAAGTGTTGAAAAGCATTCAAAATATGTGATGAATTTTTTAAAAAAATCATTCTAAAAGAGTTTCAAGTAACAGAAGTCAATAAAATGAGAGCTACTACTAAAAATTTACTACAATTTGTAAATGGCAATCTCCCTTTAACAATACAAATGAAACAGCAGGTGATACTTTTATTGAACCACTAAAAATATTAAGCAGACAACTAGCTTTTGATGATAAACTTAGGGACTCTAATACATAATTTTCTGAACTGCCGACAAGATCTTGGTACACAGCCTGAAGAAGACGAATTATCATCAAAAGCTATCTGTCTGCTTGATATTTTTAGTAATCTAAACAGTATATATTTAAAATATGCATCATTGTGGCCAAATCAGACATCTCCAGGAACATGCATAGCTTCTGCACTAGCTTTAATTCAGAAATTAAATTATTGTTTGGAAATGCCAAACCTGAGAATCAAAGCTCAGGGCTGAATCTAAGAAAATATCCAAACTGCAAATTTTCTTCTTCAGGTATCCATTACTTCTACCCAGCTCCTTGTGAAAACAGGAGAAAAAGAACAAACTAGGAGTCTCCATCCATAGGTTGCTAAGCACCATGTCTGAGTCAAGATCTCTGGCTCCTTCTCCTAACAAATCAGAAGCACCAGGATTTGTTCTTGGCTAAGGCTGTGGTCAAACCAGCAAAATGGTTTCGAGTTAGTCCTTGTGAATTTTGACCTTTTATGGGGTGGGGCAGACGATGCAAGGCCATTATTGATTTTTTTTGTTTCCCCCTCTGTTGCTATCTCCACATCAAATCCAGCCTGCTGGGAAGATACTACTATATTTGTTCCGTGTTTCTTCACACAGTACAACTGAAATGCCATTGAGAGTTTACTCCAAAAACAATTCATTTCCTATGCATCTGGTATGCGGTTCCACCTCCCTCATCCACTGATGGTCAACTCCCTTAATTTTTTTTCAATTAATTTTCAAACAGGAATGTCAGTACTTTGGTACAATTCTGTCAAATATGGAGCATCAGTCCCCCTAGTGTATTTTGACTGCCACTGCACTGTGGGTTTTCCTCCATAGAGGTTAACCAAGCATGGAAATAGGAAGAAATGGCCCAGATCAGTACATGGACAGCAAGGGCATTTTGCCAATACAGTAATGTACCCACACAATTTAAAAATGGAAGGAGTGGGGCAGAGAAAGGCACAAGGAAAGGAATATGTCCCGCTTGAAGGGTGCAGACAAACATACCGCATCTAATTCACCCCCCCAAAAAAGCAGAATGATTAAAAAAGGTATGAACCACTATCACAGGATATATGTCATGTGACCAAAACACACGACTATATAGGAGGGAGAAAACACAAGAAAGAAGGGGGGGGTATTCCTCTAGTCTGACCGCTGCCTTACTGTGCTGGCTTTTTGGAAGATGAACAAAATAGGGATCCTCAATGTATAATGCTATGCAAAACACAGAGTCTTCGTGGTTTGTTCCTGCCTTTGTAAGTGTTACTTTTTATTTTCTTTATTTTTCAATGTCTTTTTTTTTTTGCCCATGCCTGCCATCTTGCACCTTTTGTGAGTCACTTTTTATGTTCTGTGTTAGGGTGAGGGGATGGTCAATACTTTGTATTTATGGATTGCTTTCGTTGGAAACTGCCCCGAGTAGTGGCATACCACTCGGTGGTGCAGTTTGGAAATTTAATAAATCAAGAAATAATTTAGTCTGATGGGTTGCATAGCCTACTGTACACAGCAGAAAGGAGGCAGTAGGTCACATATGAATGTAATCTGAATGGTGTCAACCCTGGGCCCAGCTCAGAGTATGTACTATGGAATAGCACAGTAATAGCCGTGCTCTACTCCCAAGGCTATTACAATTTCTAGCCATTTATTTGTTAAAAAAATCTTAACATCATCATCTGGCCATAAAATGAAATGCATCGTTTTGCAATGCTAACATCTGAATATACTTCACTGTGCTCACAAACAGAATAACACGCTAGTAGATAATTTAGTAATGAGACTCCCAGTGTGGTGTAGTAGATAAAGTATCAGACTAGGACTCTGGAGAACAGGGTTTGAATCCCCACTAAGCCATGGGAGTGGAACTAGTAAAAACATTCCTTAAATATCTTATTTACCTTGAATGCCTACTAGTGTTCCTTAATTTGGTTCTGATTTGACAACACAGAACATACACACAGATAACTTAACATTAAGACAATCTGCCAGGAACTTGGGATCTGAGAAAATAGAAATGAGGCTCAAGATACCAATACTCTTCCTGAAAATTCCCATGTACACTCAAATTACTTGAATTACTTTTTCTAAAGCTGAGGCTATATATACTAGCTAATTCCCCCTTTTTCTTTTCCTGCATCATTTTAGTATGGAGCTGTTCTCTCTCTCTCTCTCTGGGTGCCATCCCAGTTTCTGAGGTTGGCTACCATCATGGCATATGTCCACCTATCTCTTATTGGATTGATTATCTGCTCTTTATTAAGGCCCAGATAGTCCCTGATGTTATTCATCCAAGAAATCCGTCTTCCATGTTCACCCTCAATTTTCCCTTCAGTGATGTAAAGCAGTATATTATACTTGTCATGACAAATTATGTGCCCAAGATACAAGAGCTTGTGTTTCTAAATAAGAAATATTTATTTTTGTTCTTCTATCCACTGAAGTGCCTCACCATTATTTATTCTCTGTCCATGGGATGTGAACTTCAAAAGCATTTGGCCTGCTGAGCATGTGCCTCTTAACAGTACAAACCTCATATCCATATGGAAGGGTTTATCATATATAACACTGTAACATCTTCAATCTCAACGATATATTAAGATGTTTTAGGAAGAGTTAAAGTAGAATTAGGATTAGTGGCTATTCTATAACAAGCACAAGAAACACTTGATTGGTTGTATTTGCAAGAGCAGGGGGGGGAAGTGATTTGGAATATTCCCACATTGAAAAAAAAATAAGTGTTCTATGTTATATCATTCTTTAACCAAACTACATCAAACCTCTGGGGGTGGGGATGAATAAAAAAGACAAAAGTATTAAGTAAACCAACTTTTTACCATATAAAGGCACTTTTTACCATATAAACCTAGTAAAAATATCCAGTTTTTATACTAATAATCTAAAACTGAAACACATAAGTGAACAGTGAATCAGTCAATTGCTCTTTGATTTTATTTTCTTCCAAAGGCACAGCTCTTGTTTTTCATGTCTATTATATTCCAATATAGTGGCTCTATGGCTAGTAACCTTTTGCAAGTACTTGTTACCTTGCATGTTTCTACTGATAAATCTAGCAAGATCTACTTCTGTTTTGCACTGCAAGTTTCCACTCAGATTGTGAGCTGCTGGTGCCCTCATTAGATATGTTGTCTACCAGATTATTCAGAATTTTCTGCAAAAATTGGAATGTATTCTGTTGATTACATAATTCATATTCAGCATCTAAAGAGAATAATTATTCAATAAATGTGGATACACTGAAGATAACAGTGTAGATACCTAATACTTAAACCTTTAATGCCAAAGCATTAAAGGCCAGCTCCTACTATTTATTTATATTCCAATTTAGAAAGAAATAGAGGAAATGGCACACAGCTGCCTTCCCAAAAACAGACCTCCCATCTGCCACCCACGATTTGCATGTCACCTTCTCCAGGCTCATTTGTACTTCATTAACTGCCATTGACTTAACAAGATTTATGCAAATGACACCATAGGAGATTGCTAACTCCCACTGCAATCAAGCGATTACGTACGTACAATTCTCCACAGCAATGAAAAATTAATACACGACAAGCCCACTCACTGCTGAGCTGTGCCTCTTGCTTTTATGTTTCTTGTTGTGTACTTTCTATTTTAACACGTCCTACTGGCAGACATTTGACATAAGCATAAAACAAAAACAAACCTTACAAATACATTTCTTCCCTCTTGAGTCTAAAAATTATTTTTCAAAACAATTTTAGTACAAAATGTTTCAGTTCCTAATTATATAAAGTTGAGTCACAAATATAGAAATAAGAAAACATTGCAGAGTAGGATGATCTTGATTTAAATCAAGATTTCTGCTATGTTTTAAAATGTATTTTCTCAATAAAGTGCTTATTAGAAAAATCCAAATGTGTCAGTCAGTAAATAAAATGAACTTATGTGGGTAGGTATCGCCACACCTGAGGAATATCTGTTGGACAGACAGTTGTGTTTGATTCTTTTTGGTACACATACAAGGAAACTAAGCAAGCTCGCTGACTTGGCCAATCTGTTGATCGATTTACAATTATTGGCAAGCATACCACAACTGAAGAAAACATGTACAATACTCCAAGTAAACATGAATAACATGAGGCTGGAAGCACACATAAACTTCTCACAAGTAAAATCTAATCATTTATTGAGCAAAATAGTGTTTCTGAGTGAGCTAGAAAGTAAAAGGAAAGCCATCGATGTTCATAATTTGAGAAGTGACCATACTGCAAAATTCACATATTTGGTAACCATCAGTTACAAATGTAGTATCACCGACGTGGGTTTATGCAATAATTCTAGCAGCAGATTTCAGAAAAACTCATGCTCAATATGAAAAGCATACAAACACAAAAATGGCTTCATGCCATCTGCATCTTTGTTTTACCTTGGAAGGGAAATGTCTTTTTCCATGACTCTCAGCTTTACATGAAAAAGCATATCTTACCTCAACATGCCTGTCTTTTTAAATACATATAAATATAGACAGAAATCTTGTATTTACTGCTATCATTTTGAAGCCAGTTTTAAAAATATCATTAATTCTATTAAGCCTCTAGTATCAGCTTTGCATGCCCAGTATGGCTGGCTAGCTAGCTGGCTGGCTGGGTGTTTTGTTTTGTTTTATTTTATTTATTGATGCAAAATTGCCATTCTCCCCTGCCATATGTTAACTTGAAACTCAGGAGAGTTTAAAACTCATGTTCTACCACCTGACGTGGACAGCAGCCCCCTGGTATGCTTTTAACAACTTCCTGAATCATGACCATGTGTTGCACAACCTGATTTTTCTTTGGTAGATTCCATGGACCAAAAAGATATTCCAGAACACCCTGTGGAAGTTAAAGTATCTTACATAGGTTAAGAGATTGTTAAAAATTAAAGTAAGATTCAAAATATATTCCCTGGAATGGCCTTGTTTGGATGAGATATCCTCACAGCATTTCAAATCCTTAATACAGCCTTGCATCAACCAATCTGAGCCTGGAAAACTAATTTTCTCAATCCTTACAGAATATTCAGTTCAGTCACTGAACTGCACTGAAGTCCACTAGACAACATCAAACAGCTCTGCTCAACATTACGTTGTGACATCTCTCAAATTCCTTTTAGATAGTAGTATCTAAAGTTTTTGGAACAATAGCTTTTGGGAACTGTATCATGCCCATTTCATGCATCTCCATACTGATGGTCCAGCTCAAAAACATGTCATTGGCTTCTATTCCCTCCTTTACTCCCCTAGCTGGTCCAATCACAGTTTGCCTCAATGTTGTTGCAAGCCACTGATTGCAGTTCCCCTACAAACCACAACCGGAAAGTAGGGCTTAGTTTGAAAGTATGAAGCCTCAGGCACAAAAAGATGGCTACAACACCCATGCAGCAGATCCCACTGCAGCATCCAGCTCCTCTGACACTTCTGAGAGAGAAAATGCTACTCTTCAAAAAGCTGACTGGATTGCAGAGTAAGGATAAACTTTTGTCTGTTGCCCTCTTGCTCTAAATCTGTCATAGTGACATTGATGACTATACTTTGCACTGCATAGGTAGGTTTCTGGAGCCCTGACCCACAGATAGTGCTAGTGCTTAGGACTATGAAAGATATGTTTCCCAGCCCTGGCTATACAGAACTGTTAACATTCTGGTACCAGGGAAAAGCTACAGTTAATTCACAGTCAAGGTTATGCTATATAACATTACAGCAAGAGTAATTTTGTTCATGAAATTTCATGTACTAGTTGTAAGTTACTGAAAAGCAAAATAACAGTTTTATAGCTGACCTGATGTTAAATTATTTTTGGTGCATCTGCAACTAGACAGAGGGGTGGAAACAAGGAAAGCAAAGATTCACAACAGTTCTAAGCACAGCACATCTTTTTTGGCCGTACTACTGCAGAAAAGACGACTTTAGGGATCTTATTTTTGAGGAACACATTTTATAAACATTTGGTATGTCTAAATGAATATACATAAAAAGCTAAGGGTGCCATTTTGCTCTATTTATATAATAGCATTTGATCTTGCATTCACAGTCCTTCCATGGTTATTTTTACCTATATTTTTATTTTGAACTAGAGATGAAAAGAACTACAATTTGTGTGTCTGTGAAAATTGTGGGGGTGCATATGCACACCCCACCCACAGGATAGGTTTCTTCAATTAAACAGACAGAAAGCCTAAAGTGTTGTTCAAGGTACCTTATTTATGAAACCCACACAAAGCAAAAACCAGCTAAGTAGAAACATCTCTCTCCTTAAAAAGAAAACTATTCTAAGATAGCACCTGCCATATCATTTTAAACAAAAACAGTAGAATTTTATTTTCTGTACTACAGGTTTATACACATGTGAATATATGCAGATTAATTAAATCAGAATGCCAATTGAATAAGATTTTCCTACAAATTTACAGAATCAAAATATTCCGCTATCATGCAAACGTGTCCATATTAGAAGCACATGCTAACTTAGAAGGGTCGGTAAGACGAATAAGCCAAATTATTTATCTGCTCATTCCAATGAGTAACATATCACACAACCAACACACAATAATTAGAATAAGAATAAAGCATAGTGAAAGAAAAGATAAATTGCCATTTGGCAAATGGAATAGATGTACCACAGCACTACTTCACTAATGAGGTTTTTTTTTTTTTTTTAAGCAACCAGAAAGAGCATAAGAAATGCATGGAGCAAAGGATCGTCTCCTTCTCTTGGTAGAGATGAAGAAATACAGAAGGAGGAGCTGCTACCACACCACCCAAGAAGATGGGAAAGGGAAGGGAATGTATGGTAACAGGCTGACAGGGATGATGGCATCCCCTATGGCAACATTCCATAACCACTCCATACATGTGAGAAGAAAGCAATCCCACATAGCACAGTCCCTGCCAGAGTCTAGCCTACGAGAGACCGTTTGTCTTCTATGAATGGCTGGGCAATCCTTGCTTTTCTCCAGAGGAGCAGGGGCCCTCAAGGGCAGGGGGAGTGTTTGCCATTTCCCAGCACACAACACCTTAAGGCAACTGCCTCCCTGAGCTTAGTGATATGGTTACAATTGGTGTTGAAAATAGAGAGAAGAGGAGACTGAAACAGCAGTGCCTTTAATATTACAGGGAAACTCTCGAATAACCCTTCAGGGTTTCTTGATTTTTGAGGTGAGAACCATGACAATCATGCATCCCCACATGCAACATCTTCACAGAAGAATTTGGCTCAATGGAAACTCCAGTATAGTTTCAAATCTCTTCCCCAATATACATGTTCTGGAGGGTTTTAAATCTTTGACAGATCTTAAGGAATTTTCCATAATTTTTCAAAATCTCCTTTCATGCAACCTGTCTATAAAAAGATTACAGTCTCAACTATTAATTTGTAATCACAGTTATGCAACCTTTCTGCTGAGACATTTCAATACTACACATTTAAAAAATCATTTTAGATATACTTAATAAAACTTGTGATAGTTTTTAGCAGAGCCTAAAAGCTTTGTTTTACATAGTAGTAGCTTAAACTATGCAAAATTTCAGATATAATAAATGTCTCTGTCCATTAAGAAGGGAATCTCAGCCTGATTTCTTTGCCCAAAGAAGCTTTCCAAGCATGTGAACAGATATCAAGGAGCTTACTTGCTTTAAAATTGCAATTCAGTTATCCAGTTATCAAAAACAAAATGCTTTACATTTCACAGATGTGTTTAAGGTTATGAAATATCTGAAATTATAAACTACCGGTACAAATTCCATATCACATGTAAGTATATGTCTTACACTATGCTCTTCACATTAACAGAATCTTTTTCATGTGTAATTCAAGTGTGCCTATACTAGTCAAACAGGCCAAAACAAATTATCAGATTCAAATTCTGTAGTATAATAAGGAAGTTTAATTAAGGCCACATACTCTGGCTGTAAATGTTCCCTTATATAACAAGGTCTAAATGAAGTTACAATTCCTTCATTAGCAAATTACAAACAAGAGCGCACAGCTGACACACCAGCTATGATTATCACAACTAATTGCCTCGTTGTTGCAAACCAGCCTGGAACGGTGTTCAGATGTCCTTCTGCAACAGCAAATGAGGGCCACATCGGGCTATTTCTGTGATCACAAGGGGCTCTTGTACAGTGATCTGATTTACCCTTGTCAACTGGCAGCAAACGGCCCAATCAAAGCACTCTCTACAAAAGGCAGGCTTTGAAGCCAGCTCAGCCTAGAAGCACGCTCCATATGTAGGCCGGCAGACTGCACTTCATTAGGCCTGTTGTCACTTTTCCCCTCTTCTTATTCTAATGATCCTATTTTAATACACATAGGAACCTCTCCTAATTGATGTCAAGTGAGTGACTTCAACATTCATCACCAGAGCACATCAAACAACTCTTGGCATACAAGCCTAGCATCATGGTGTTTGAGACCTGAAATGTGTACAGGAAAGTGTGTGCATGTATGCACACGTACACACACACACACACACACACGGACACACACACACGGACACACACACAAAGAATATACCTGTTTAATTGGGATTGCACGACCGCTTCCAATACTATCTGCTCTGCTCTCCAATCCTTTCTTCTCTTTGTCTGGGTCACTCCCTTTCCGAGACTGCAGTATAAAAAAGTGAACATTTTAATATATTGAATGACACATTTTTTCATATTCACATTTTGATTTCTTAAAGTTGTTTGAATTCATCATGAAATAGATTGAAAGACATAATTATGCTTGCACATTTAAAGATGTCTGCATGCCAATATTAAAGGTTTTTAAACAGCTCAGCATCATTTACCACAAGTACAACACAGTACAGACACCAGAAAACACTAATATAAAAATCTCTGTTCCTTTCTATGTAGGAAACTTTCTATGCAAGTGTATATACTTAATTATCAACTGATGAGTTTTTTAAAAGGCTATTAACTACTCAGCAGTGTAATTTTATGGATTACCTTGATTAGAATGATATGTAATTTAATTTCCTCTTTTACGGCTTTCAGATGATAGCATCAAAGTCGAACCAACAATGCTTAGAAAACCAAGCTGCTTGGACAAAGTGTAAAAGTTGAAAGTGCTAATCATTTTTCTATGAATGTCTTTCTCAATGAAAAGGCACATGGACAAAATGAATAAAGCTATAGGTTTTAAACAGGGGTTTGTGAAAAAGGAATAATTAAAAACAAAAAAATAAACAGTGCTTAAAAAAACATTCACAGAGAGTAAAATCTGTTTGGCTTGCTTTTTCACAGCTGTGGGACAAACATACACAATCCTCTTTAACCAGTACCTCATATCCTCCTCCTTTATTGTGAGATAAGTAAATCTACATGTGACAGATTTTATTATGAGTTAGATCTAAAAGTCATCCTCCTTAATAACTGCACTGACAAGTGACAACTTCACTCCATTACTTTTCAGTGGGAACATTACTCACGCAATATTGAAAATGGAGAAATATTTTCACGCACTTTTCAAATCACAGATGATATATGAAAATAATGTACTGATATATCCAGTGTCACAAATGTGCACTAAAAAAATTCAACAGATGTGAAATCATGTTGCTTATCTACACTAAAACACAATTCTCTACAATATTCAAATTTGGAATTTGAATGAAAACCACAATGTTATTAAGACAATTTTTTTGTACTTTAGGGAATGGGTGAAGTGAAAAGAAAAAGAACTTAAACTTTGACATCCCACATTATATTTCTGTTTCACTAACAGATGAAACATATAACCTCTACAGGGCTTACTATGGGTAAATTCTTCTCATAAACAGGGTCTGGATATTGAAATGGCATACTGGTGAATCTGAAGACAGATGAAATTGCTGACTTAATCATAAACATTTTCTTCTCAAATGCCCTTGTTAACAGGGAGACCACAGTGCTTACAGTGGGAGAAACAAGGGACTTACACAGATATCATGTGTTCTTCGCAAAGCCTGAAGGTGTTTTCTCTCTCTCTCTCATCCCTACTAACCTGTTAAGCTAATAAAATGGAGCCACATCAAGGCAGTCAGATTCACCACACCCTCACATACAAGTCACAGCCACCATTTCTCTCAAGGAAGGAGCAGGTTATTCTGTTCCTCCCCATCTGAATGCTTCTGACCTCACTCAGACCTTTTCATATTGTTTCCCAAAAATGTATCAGGTAGGTGACTAGAACAGTTTCTGCTGAAAGCAGTGCAACTAGACAATGCACAAAGCCCTTTTCGGTTCTTACGTATCTGTTTTCAGCAAAAAACTGCAAAAGCATTGTGGCACCCTAAACGCTGGCAGACATATTTCAGTGTACACTCGCATGGATGACAGTCCCTTGCGAGCAGCATCCTCTTCCCTTCAGACATGTTGCTCACTATGTGCAGAAAGCAATGCCGCAGAGGGAAGGGGCTAAGTGTTGCTCTCTGTGCATTCTATGTGCTGCTAAGAACCTGGTAAGGATTGACTGAAGAGGGCTCAATTTTCCTTGAGAATAACATTGACTATTTCCCCTTAAAAGAGTTTGTTTTTTTAATTACTCTAACCAGCTCCAAGAGTGGGGTAAGAAATGATGTTGTTGGACTGCAGTTCTCATCAGCCCTAAGCAGCAAAAACACTGGTGAGGGATGATGGGAGTTACCACACAACATCACATGTTCCCTCTCCTTACTTTACGACCATTCTACCCTGTTGTGGTTCTCCCAGTCCTAGGCATCATATCTGGCTCACATTTGGGATTTTTTAACACAATTACAATGTCTAACCACCTTGGCTACAAGCAGTTCAGTCTTTTGGAAAACATACAGTTTATCACTTAGTGACAAACACTTAGATGAGTAAATTAATGGAATGGAGCATATCAGTTTCCTTAAAAAATTAGGAAAGCAAGAGAGTGTACACTGTCATTCTTAATTGATTAAAGGACAGGTAGTGGCTATCCAGAGCATTTTTATAAGAAAAAAGTTAATTATTTCCCCTTTTTATAACAAATGATTACAAATTAGTAACATGGATGAGTTTAGACAATAATCTGGGGCAGGGAACCATTTTATTTGTCTGCCTGTCAAAAACTGTAAGAATATGAAACAGTCATTTTTTGCCCTAAAATATAAACTATATAGCAAAACAAAATGTGAATTTACAATATGCATTACTTAATAGGGGTATTGGGGCAAAAGTAAGACCTGCAACACGAATGCTCAGAAAGAGTGTGTGTGTGAACATAGTTTCAGTGGAATACTACAATTAATTTTGAAATCTAGGACTGAACTGCAACTGTTTGTAAGAGATTATACATAAAAATGTATAGCTTAGTGTGGTTAAGGTTTTTTACTAATATGAATTGAGAGCAGAGTTTGTAAAGATTATTTTAAGAATAATGAACATAATAGTAAAATGATATCAGGGTTCACACTCTCTGGAGCATCATTTCAGCACTGCTCAGTTACAGGTGGCTTCGTTGTATCATTATATGCACGGTAGTACTATTAGTGCTCTTAAAAGTAACTTTCCAAGCTCTGCCTGAGAAACTACAGTACTCAGCTTTCTGTTTTCAAATCAAATAGACCTTGGGGTGAGGGGAGGAGACTTCTAAAATTAAATGAGATCATAGTATGATTTTGTCTTAGTAATTTCTTACTGTTTTTTTGAATAATGCTGTAGTCTGTTACATTTGCTGTTGTTTTAATATCTTCAGACTTTACTTACATTTTAACATTTTAAATGGTTAATACATGGATTAATTCTTGCTTCTAGCCATCTTAATCTCTCTAGAAAAAAGTGGGGTTTGAAGATGCTAAATTAATTCTATCTAACATGCCTTTTTTTTAAAAAAAAAAAAATTGAAACATGATAAATTCAAAGGAGCAAAACTCCCTCAGAGGAACAGTAATAGCTGCACACCCCTGAACATAACATGGTCAGTTCTAACATCTTTTCCTGAAGTGAAAAGAGTAATATGGTAATATTTTTTTCACAAAGTATAACGTGCCAAGATTCCTACAGAATTGGAATGAAAAAAGCAGGTCTTAAATGTCTCTTTCAGTTTAATCAGTGGCTGAAATCCTGTTTGACAAATTATTATTCATAATGTGCATTATATCATCAATGACTGTTGTGCTACAGACATTGGGGGTGGGCACTAAAAGCTTTTTCTCCCCAAGCCTATAGGTTCCAGTGATCCGTAGGGTTCACTTTCAACCTGGGAAAACTTTTAGAGGCCGGAGACTCTTCAGAGCCCAAAACTCACTGCCACCAGTCCCAATTTCCAGGCACTAAAGTGTTCCATTCCTTGGGTCAAAGGGATGCCCCAGGATCCCTGGAATCTGGAGAAGGGAAAGAAGCAGACTTTAATGCCCCTACAACAGCTATGGCATGGCTGCAGATGGTAACATACACAAAGTACAAGTCTTAACTTACAAAACAGATTTCAGCCATTATTGCACTGATACTTTCAATATACCATATTGTAGATCACAGTATTATATGGAGAATGAAATTTTCTTGGCCCTTGAGCAATCAAGACCAATGTTTCCAAATGTTTTGATTACTGCTTTCAATATTTTAAAGGATATTTTAAAATCCTATTTTCAATTTTAAAATGTCTAGGGGAAAATAATAAGATACAAAATGTTTATGCTACTTTTGCCAGGATAAAATAATTCAGCTAATTATACTGTTTAAAAGAGATTTAGTAGCAAGAGCCAATGAATAAAACTGTAAATCAATGATGCAGATCCTTATACCCTCTAAATATGACACATGAAAAGCTACAGTATATTTACATACCTAATGTTTTCATTTTAATCCATTAAAGTGGATCTCAACATAGAACTGTTGTATAGATCCTAAACAAAGTCTGAATAGAAGCAGAATCAATAATTTCAGCAAACATACCTTCACTCAGAACATTTTCAGTATACTTGCTCTACTTTCCAATCATTGACTGGCACTGACATCTAGTGGATGAAAAACTTACTATTCAGCAAATAAACACTATTTCACTGCTAGTATCCACTGACAGTCCTATTACAGTTGCACCATAAGTAAATTATCTGTGGAGGTTTTAATCCTAAAGGAAAGTTTGCAAAGACCAAATCTATCTTCATCCCACCCACACTGTATTGCAGATCGGGGAGGGGGGCAGAATGGAGATCTTCAGATATTTTCAACTTTAGCCTTGACAATGGACCATGTATGAGGGGTGGACAGGAGCTGAAGTTCCAAACTTTTGGAGATCTGAAAAGATCTGCTAGAAGAAAGAGATAGTAAACCTCCATCCCATGGCCCTAATCCAGTCTTGGAATGCTCTTCATCCAAAATGCAGAGATATTCACTGTAGCCTTAGTCTCTACACCCCCCACAAACTACAGCAGCTATTGGTAAAAAGATCCCCTCCAATCTATAAGAAAGCAGACATTCCACTTACCATGGAGCTTGCCCTCCTAAATAGTAGAGGAAGCTGCACAGAAAATGTGTTACTCACATGACATCAATTCCATTGGGGGAATTATGCAACGGTCAAACAAAGCCAATCCCAACAGAGGCATCAACTTGAAGACTGATCCCCAACAAGTATCCCTATAAGAGTATCTTCAACTACATGCTGGATTTCCTCAG